ATAATGTCATCGCTCTGGACCCTGGAGACTGCGAACAGTCGGGTGAGCGAGGTGAACCTTGCATCAGTGGGCGCCGTTGCTTCAGAACGGGAGTCGGGTGTCGGATGAGGCTGATATTTCTGGATGAATGGAAGGAGGAGATTAAGTGGGCGAGGATTGCGCAGTGAGCCGCTCTCTTGTTTTGTGCTTGAGTTTATGTGGCGTGACTGCGAGATACTCACGGCTGCGCGTGTTTTTACCTACGGATAGTCAGTCCTTGCTTTCAAAAATTGGATTAAACTTTCTGGGAAGAATTAATGCAGATGTTCCCAGACTTCTACAGTTTTTTGTAGCTTATCAGATAACTTTTGTGCATGTAATATTCATCCCCTCAGATGTGACCCATTAAAGTGAACCCAGTATGTTCGAGTATATTTTTATCAGCTTGTACATCATATACCGTGTTTATATGTATATCTATGTATATGTGTGTGTGAGAAAGTGTGTTTACGAATATGCATACATACATATACATGTATAACAAATATGTGTGTGTGTGTGTATATATATATATATAAATATATATATATATATATATATATATATATATATATATATATATATATATATGTATGTATGTATGTATATTATCTCTCCGTCGCTTCGACGTCTCTGCCCCCCCCCTTTCCCTCTTCATTTCGCCTACATTATCCCCATTTGTTTAACCTTTACCTTTTGTACTCCCTTGCCCCTTGGCCCTCCCACTTCTATTCCCGTGCCCTCAGCCCTCCAGCCCTCCCATTCCATCCCCGTGCCCCTCAGCCCCCCCACTTCCATCCCCGTTGCCCCTCAGCCCTCCCACTTCCATCCCGTGCCCCTCAGCCCTCCCCTTCCATCCCCGTGCCCTCAGCCCTCCCACTTCCATCCCCGTGCCCCTCAGCCTCCCACTCCATCCAGCCCTCCCACTTCCATCCCGTGCCCCTCAGCCTCCCACTTTCCATCCCGTGCCCCTCAGCCCTCCCACTTCCCCCCCGTGCCCCTCAGCCTCCCACTTCCATCCCCGTGCCCCTCAGCCCTCCCACTTCCATTCCCGTGCCCCTCCGTGCCCCTCAGCCCTCCCACTTCCAGCCCTCCCACTTCCATTCCCGTGCCCTCAGCCTCCCACTTCCATTCCCTCAGCCCTCCCACTTCCATCCCCGTGCCCCTCAGCCCTCCCACTTCCATCTCCGTGCCCCTCAGCCCTCCCACTTCCATCCCCGTGCCCCTCAGCCCTCCCACTTCCATCCCGTGCCCCTCAGCCCTCCCACTTCCATCCCCGTGCCCCTCAGCCCTCCCACTTCCATTCCCGTGCCCCTCAGCCCTCACACTTCCATCCCCGTGCCCCTCAGCCCTCCCATTCCCGTGCCCCTCAGCCCTCCACTTCCATCCCCGTGCCCTCAGCCCTCCCACTTCCATCCCGTGCCCCTCCCCTCCCACTTCCATTCCCGTGCCCCTCCCAGTGCCCCTCAGCCCCCCACTTCCATTCCCGTGCCCTCAGCCCTCCCACTTCCATTCCCGTGCCCCTCAGCCCTCCCACTTCCATTCCCGTGCCCCTCAGCCCTCCCACTTCCATCCCCGTGCCCTCAGCCTCCCACTTCCATCCCCGTGCCCTCAGCCCTCCCACTTCCATCCCGTGCCCCTCAGCCCTCCCACTTCCATCCCCGTGCCCCTCAGCCCTCCCACTTCCATTCCCGTGCCCCTCAGCCCTCCCACTTCCATCCCCGTGCCCCTCAGCCCTCCCACTTCCATTCCCCTGCCCTCAGCCTCCCCACTTCCATCCCCGTGCCCTCAGCCCTCCCCCCCCAATTCCCCGTGCCCCTCAGCCCTCCCACTTCCATCCCGTGCCCCTCAGCCTCCCACTTCCATCTGCCCTCAGCCCTCCCACTTCCATTCCCGTGCCCCTCAGCCCTCCCACTTCCATCCCGTGCCCCTCAGCCCTCCCACTTCCATTCCCGTGCCCTCAGCCTCCACTTCCATTCCCCGTGCCCCTCAGCCCTCCCACTTCCATTCCCGTGCCCCTCAGCCCTCCCACTTCCATCCCCGTGCCCCTCAGCCCTCCCACTTCCATTCCCGTGCCCCTCAGCCCTCCCACTTCCATCCCCGCCCCTCAGCCCTCCCACTCCATCCCCGTGCCCTCAGCCCTCCCACTTCCATCCCCGTGCCCCTCAGCCCTGTGCCCCTCAGCCCTCCCACTTCCTTCCCTGCCCTGTGCCCCTCAGCCCTCCCACTTCCATCCCCGTGCCCCTCAGCCTCCCACTTCCAAGCCCTCCGTGCCCCTCCCGTGCCCCGTGCCCCTCATCCACTTCCATCAGGCCGGCCCCTCAGCCCTCCCACTTCCCCCGTGCCCCACCTGAGCTGTGCCCCTCAGCCCTCCCACTGTTTCAGCCCTCCCAGTGCCCAGTGCCCCTCAGGTGCCCCTCAGGCGCCCTGGACGTCCTCTCCCTCTCCCCTGACACTGCCGTTTTTCTCCGGCTCTGCTTAG